CGGCCATGAGGCCCTTGCACTATACCCTTGATGATAACCCTTTGAAAGCGACCTGTGTCCAAGGGTTCTCCCACAGGGTTACCTTGGTCAGGAAATCGCCAAAGGGTTGGATTCAAGGGCAGTATGAGGATCACACTTCGGCCTAGGACTTAATCTACTCCTTCACCCCTCACCCTATTCGGCCTGAAGCAGTGGGGGACTGGGGGACTACACCGGCCTCAAGAATAAAAGGCAAAACCAAAAGAAATCCAAAAGTACACCAAGTCCACAACTACAACATCAGACATGCACCACAACGTCCATAACATCATGGCGCATCTTCGGCCACAACAAAGCTTGAGATCACAGGACACTTATCGGCCTTGAAACCACATCACTCAAGCCAGGAACCAAGAGAAAGGTCAACATACCTAAATCACTGTCGTCCATGTACCACAACGGCCAGACAGCGTTATCAACCCCAAAACCTTGGGCCATATGACGCCTGGTCGTCCAAACACACAAGGCATCATCAACAACGGCCAAAAGGAATGCGGAGTGCCCTCATCGGCCTCACCAGCCCGAAGGGAAAACTTTACCTAGTCAACAACCAAGGACGGATACTACCTTCATCGGCCACCCGTGCCAGAACGCGCATCATCCAACAAAGCGCACCAAAGGAACAAGGGCCTTCCCCGGCCGCACCAGGGGACAGGCAACGACCAAACTCAAAACACAGGGCTACCAATTCCCGCATCGGCCAAGAAGCATCAAGCACAGGAAATCTACTCTCCTGCACTTCGTCTACATCTCAGCTTAGAGAGTGGGGGACTCCTGATGGAGTATATGGGTCTAGGCCCCAGGACCCACATACTCAGAACAGAAAGCGCAGTCACTACACGGTGCCCTCGTCGGCCAGGAGACCCTCGTCGGCCGAAGAGGGGCCAATCCAGAATATGATCTTGAGGCCAAGGAACCAGGGTGTCCTCGTCGGCCGTGCCCGCGTCGGCCGTGCCCGCGTCGGCCGTGCCCTCGTCGGCCAAAGCCCTCATCGGCCACGGGAGACCCACAGAACCGGATTTTACACTTACTCATTTGTACAGCCCACTAGTGGCTTTGTATTCAGCCCAATAGCGGTCCAGTTGTAAATGGGCCTCCCAAGCCCAAGGCTTGGGAGCCCAGCCCGTATTTTTCCTATAAATGCTTCCTCTGGAGGTAGTTATGGGGGTTACAAAATCATTCTATTGAAGCATATATTGCACTTCTCTCTCTAGCTCTCACTTCTCTCTAGATATATACTCTATCAACACTCATGAAAGCTCATTCTCTCATAAGATAAAAACTAATGTAATTTTTATTAACCTTTTTCTTTATGTATCCACTTTTTATCAAATTTAAATTTTTGCGACATTACAAGACTTTTAATGTAATTTTTGAATATATAAATTTTATTTGCTAAAAATAATTTCATTATTAACAAGGATCACTTAAGTTTATGACCTATCAAATATCGTAAACGCAAGTGAGACGTTACCTGGGCCGAAGGTAGTATACGATATTCATTCAATCTCTTTTTAATTTGAATAATGTGAGTTGATTTTCCCGTGCAACGCACGGGTTCATTGTCTAGTATGATCAAAGCGAAGAAAATGCAGTCATAAGTCAAAAGGGTTAAAAATTGGCACTTCCGGATTAACTATCGAAGCCAAAATGCAACTGAAACTATGTAATCGAAATATGGGTACCAATTAGCACCACACCGCGAGCAAACCAGTGTCAGTCTCACCTAGGGGTGAGCAAAAATACCAAAAAATCGGTATACCGCACTTACCGTACCGAAAAATACCGGAAAATACCGGAATATTGGTATACCATCATTTTCGGTACGGTATCATACCGTACCGATTTATTTCGGTACGGTAACGGTAAATGTTTTCAAATATCGCGGTATACCGGTATAATACCGTACTGACTCTCTACCCAACAATTACTTTTAATTCTAAAATATTGTAAAAAAATCAATTACAATTTTAGAGCCCAAATTAATACTTAGGTTGGTTACAAATACCAAAATACAAAAATAAAGACCCAATTTCCCAAATCCACTATAACCTTCTAGGCTTCTACAATGTAACATTCAAACTAACCTTAATGACTAATGAGTAATGTATTAATGTTCAGAAACAAGTTCATCTTGTTCCAATTCAAGAGTTTGTGAGTAGAGATGGCTGACACACAACTTTATCTGAAAGTCTTATTCAAATATTTTTTAAATTATAAAAATGAGTAAATACAAAATATCATATTAGGAATCAATGATTTCATATTCATATTGTTTGAATAGTTTTATTTATTTTTGTTAGAGATCACTATTGATTTAATTATATCTATATTGTTCAAGTTATTTTAGGAGAATGTGTTATTTTTTAATGTGTAACATGTTGAACTACTTTTTTTGGAAGATTAAACTACTTAAATATACTAATAATAATTATTGTTCAATATTAAATTGACATCAATAGACTTTTTTGTCTAATTGACCATCAATAGATTATTAATTGTATTTTGTAACATGTTAATAATAGATTAAATATGTCGCTAGTCACAACGATTTAGTATATTTCATTAGTCTATGATAATTTGTTGTATTGAGAGACATGCATGGTAATTTACCGATACCGTACCGTTACCGAACCGAAACTTCGGTATATCGGAATGCAGTATACCGACACTTCGGTAAGGTAACGGTATATAAATTTTGTATACCGAAAGTTTTGGTACGGCAAATGTATGAAAGAAAATATTCGGTATACCGTACTGAACCACCCCTAGTCTCACCACCTAACCCGTGTCGGTCATGTGTAACATATTATGGGAGGAAGTCGAGAGCAAATTGGCGCCAATCACACGCCCAAACCGGCATCAGTCTAACTTGATTTTGCATAAAACATTAATGGCAAGATATTCTTGAGATGAAATGAAGCTATTTGAAGGGTGCGTATTGCTCGAAAATTTCTCCCCAATCTGATCTAAAATAATGAATAGGCTACCAAAGATCATTTCCTAGCCTATTTAAACCCCTAAATTCATCACAATAATCATTCAATCCATTAGTTCATAACTAGTTTTTATTTTTCTTCTTTTTTCTTCATGGTGTTCTTGACTTGTGGAAGCTCATTTATTCCAACCATTGATATTTAGATAACATTTTCTTTGTATTTTCATGTTCTTTTACATTCAAAGCATTGCAATCTTAGAGATTAAGTCAAGACTCAAGATGGACTTCTACGCCTCCAAGTATTGATTCTTGTTTTAAGTCAATTATAACTTATGCATCTTAAACTTAACTAGACAAAGCTCAGGACAAACCACTGCACCCGCTAGTTAGAGGTTAAGTCCTTAAGTCAATGCTCAGGATGAACCTCTACACTTAGGAAGAGTATTAAAATGAAAAGGGAAAATGGGAAATGTTTTTGTGCTGATTTTAGGTAAGAAAAGTTGTCTAGTTATTGTTTGGCATGTGATGTTTTAAGCAAATTCAAGTTTTGCTATTTGGATCAAGGAAAAGGGTTGTCAGACACTAAGGCTTACTGCCCTTGGTTGAGAGCATTCACTTGACGTAGCAGTTACAATGGAGAGAATAAATGATTGATTCTGGAGTAGGGTCTTAAGATGGGAAAAGATATCAATTCTGAGATAGGTAGGATGGATGAGCACAAAGGTGAACATAACTCAAATAATTATGTAGGAGTAGAGGAGGGAGTTCTCAAAGGTGATTGGTCACTGTAACAAGCCCTAATGTACGGGATAACTGTAACTCAAATCCACCAAGAGGCATCTCATATGGAGGCGACCGACGACAAATCCTATCAAGTCGGCCTAACAAGGTCATTCTTCTTTTTTTACGAGGGAGGAGGGGGGGGGGGGGGGGGGGAGCATAAGGTAAACTGAGATAAAACTCACTCCATTGAGTATTGAACTCAAAACCTCTGATAAAGGAGGAGAGTCTGTCAACAACCAACTGAGCTGAACTACTTTCTCAAGATCAATCTTCATTTCTTCTATATATATAGGGGTAGGCTTGGACTCGGGTCGGGCCACCCGGCCCGTGGACCGGCCCGGCCCGCTACTGTGCGGGACCGGGACCGGCCCGGTTCTCAGGTCCGGGTCCGGGTCAGGCCTAGGCCCGGGGGGTAGGGCGGGTCCGAGCTCGGGTCTGAATTTTGGTGAACCGGCCCGGTCGGGTCGGGCCCGGGCCCGGGCCAAATTGATTTTTTTTTTTTTTTTCATTTTTGGGATTCCACCCGGGTTGGGCTTGATGGGTAGGACCGTAGGATGGGTTTGGGGGGGTTTGGGAGGGGGGGGGGTTAGGAAAGCAAAAAAAAAAAAAAATCCAACCTGGAGGCCCGGCTCGGATCCGGACCGGACCCGGTGGCTACCCGGCCCGGTCCCGGGTCCACCATTCTTGAACCGCCGGCCGGGCCGGGCCTAGGCCCGACCCGGACCCGGCCCGGACCCGAGTCCACCCCTATATAGGGGATTGATCTGGTACAAAGTGGGTTTATTATGCAAACATTTGTACGATGCATTTTATTATACTTATATTACACATTGATTTTCAAAGTATTGTGTATTATTATGTGATAAAATAATAATTGCATATTAACATTCAAATAATAATTGCATAGTTTTTTTACCAAAATGACATTGTGCCTTTTAAGTCATTACTCATTAGATTTTTCAAATGGTAGGCTGAGATTAGATCTTTCAAATGGTAGGCTGAGATTACTTTGTATTTTGTAAATTAGGAGCATTATTGAAACTTTATCTATTTATATTTTTATAGTTATATATATGTGTGTGTAATAACATCCCTGAATCGACTTTGCTGTATATCCAGCACGTATGTACTTTATAGGGAATTTGATATTTTGATGACTGTCTATACAAGTCACAAGCATGATCCAGCGATTGCGCATTTTAAGTACCTAATTAGTACTCCCTGAGCATTCCAAATATCAGTCCTTTACTCCTTTTCAAGAACTATTTATGCCAAAAAAAGTCCAAATGTAAAGTTCAACTTTAATTCTAAAGCTCGTGGGAAAACAACTGTAATCTCGTTTAAAAGAAAGCTGCAATCTGTTTTAAAACAAAACTGCAATCTGGTTTAGTCAGTACTCTTAAGAATAGGTTTTCTAAAAATATAAAGAGAAGTGTTCAAGACTAGCAACCCAAACACAAAAGGAGGTTTTGGCCACTACAGCCCACTGTAACACCCAATTACTCCAAAGTTTCAAACTAGCAAACCAAACACAAATACATAAATAACTAGTCTTCACACAGAATGTTTCTAGTCTTCCAGCAAATTTTATTATTTGGCTTCATGAAGACTTGAGCTTCATTAACTGTAATTCACACCTGCCACATAACCAAAAGTTGCAATTATTCAGATATTGGCAGTAATATACACCTAATAACTATTCTAGAAGGTGCTAAAGGCGCTGATGAGCTGCTAGCCATCAAAGAAAGGTGTTTGAAGGAAGCAACACAAGAAATTATACATATTCCATCAAGTAACACTCCTATGTAATATGCAGTAATAAGGGGAAAAATTATACCTACCTGTGATCACTCTCTGTGCAAGTACATGAAGTTTTATGGACTCCACAAAAACAAATAGATATTCCTATTACAGATTTATCAATTTTGAGTAGTTGTTTCACAATCAAAACCACATAAAATGAAGCAATATATCAAAAAAGTTTTTTCAAACTAGAACCCTAAAATTGCAGGAAATCTACACACAGGTTTCATAGCCATGTGTAATTCTCATTCGTTCATGAATTCTGTTCCAGATTATCTTAGGGATTTAATATAGGTTCACATATTCATGCCCAAGATTATGCCGAAAGAGCAAACATATCGACAAGCTAACATTTTTAGAGAGTAGTATGTCTTAGATGAAACTTCAACAAGACTATGCAGATCAATACATTGAATGAGTGACTCTCCTAGACATTGGGATTCTTTAGACCTTTATACAGTCATAGAGGAACAAATGGATTTTAAGAGACAGGTTGGGCTCATACTTTTTTTACCCAATGAATTACAAAATATAGTAATTTCATTTGGTTTGCTATGAGATGAATATTGTTACAATCATGCCACTGCCATGCATGATATGAAGTCATGAGAAACATGAGCATATATGGGGATACTAACAAAAATAATAATAATAATAATAATTGTGACAAAAAATCATATCATATATCATTGCATTATTTGAACTCCAAAGATAGAGTAAAACTAAATACCACACCAGTAATGGGCCGGAAAACAATCGACTGAACAAAATGCAATTCGGGAAATTGACAAAGCTGTCTCTAATTCCAGCAACCGCCTAAGATTCGACGAATTGCTTTTCCTTGGGACCATGAAGGAGCAGTTTCGGTGCGTAGGAAGCCGACTGAAGCCATAGCTTGTATGGGAATTTCAAATTGTGAGCTTTGACCCATAAGAGGGCGAGCTTGGGAATTGGGATGGATGTGAGTGGCATTGAGTATTGCAAGAGCTTCCAAGGAGGAAATGAGATAAAAAGCGGGAAAGAATAAGCAACGACAGGGCTGAACAAGAGTAATAGCGAGAGAAAACAAGAGAGAAGAGCTGATTTCATTCTCACCAGGGATGGATTCTTCAGATTTCAAGGGCTGAACGAGAGTAATAGCAAGAGAAAACAAGAGAGAAGAACTGATTTCATTCTCAAAAGGGATGGATTCTTCTGATTAATTTATTATAAATATAGATTCTAATCTGTCATCGCTCATAACTCAATCAAACGGAGAAGGTTAGAAAAATACCTGGAAGACTTCGGAGTTTCACGCAGATGCGAAGAAGAAAGTATGGAAAAGGAACTTGACGAGCCTTTTTAGAGCCTGCAATTTGAGATTTGGCGGAAAATCATTCACTCGATGCCAAGAACTTCCCCAGAAGATTAATTTTCGCTGAGTCAGAGTGTTGAGCAGGCTTGCGGAAAGTCGAAAGGGAAGTAGAGGGTGTGCGTTTTTTTCTGCTGCAGCAAGTAAATTTATCTCCAAGTCTACTTATCCGACGTGTCAATTCATTTTTAGGCAATCCACAATGCCACTAAAGATGCTCTTAGAACTTAGGATTTTTATAGTCTATAGTGACATGTATAGATGAAACATATATTCCAGTGGATTTTTAATTCCTATGGTCTTTGCATCTGTTGAGAGTTGTGTGCTCAGTTAATGAAGGCCCCTATTTCGACCATCTGTGTATTGAGAACCCTACAGAAACAGATTAGTTACAGGACTGGAGACGATAATATATAGTTTTAGTTATTAGGGTTGCTATTCTGCTAATGGGTTTGAGACTTTGGGCTAATAAAATTCTGAAGTGCAAAGATTTATACGATTAATTTATTATTTATATCAAGTTCAGTCATCGATCAGAACCATATGGGATTATGGGTATATAAAACCTAACAGCATAGCTAAACAGCTGACAATTTTTTACAAGTAATAACTGATAACCAACCGAAAACTGCTTTTCTAATTGGTTATGCCATAAAAAATTTCATCTGTTATTTACTCACCTAGTCACCCACATGCATGTTTGCTTAAAAAAATATTGAGCAGTTACTTTAGAGATGAAAATGGTAAAATACTATAAAGGACATTTGAATGAAACAATAGTAATCTTTGAAGGTCTTTTGATCAAATAAATTTCAATTCAACCCAAATGCCCCATACCCCATCTTTCTGAGGCAAATACAATTGTAGAAAAGAACAGACACACAAATTGTCATATACTCATAAACCATGCAACACTTAACATTCTTAAAAATCAAATGTTGATAACAAAATGAGATTCAGCAGGTAAGACCGATAACATAAATGCTAAGATATACGTACTTCATAATCTCAAAGGGATCATACCTTTAATTTGATCTGCAGCTTCACTCTGCCATAACATTGCCGCCTTTATTGCCATCATCATCATCATCATCATCATCATCATCATACAAATGAAGTTGAGCAATTTGTTCCTCCACGGGCAAACAATCCCCATCAGTCTCAGATGCATCTTCTGAAGGTTGGTATTCTTTATTGCGGTACAATGATAAGTTGAAAAATATATCAGGATTCTCCTCAATCTCTCGCAAGAAACCTTCATACTCTGTGCTCCTCTTCTCTTCATTATCTTTTCCTTTGCCAGTGTTATCATCAACTTCCATGTTGAGAGACTTGAGTTTCCAGGCACGAGGCTTGCCCCTCTTCTTCTGCCACTTCTCTTCATAACTTTTCTTCACCAATACCACCTCTGGGAGGTCAAACCCTTTGTATTTGTCCAACTCAATATCATTATTGTTGGCTCCATACAAATCATAACCAAAAGCATAGTCTCCAGATTTCAAAAGATGTCCGATATGTGTTCTTACCATGAACATTATGTCATTCTTCCCAAAATCGGACACCCGAGCTACTTGAACATCGGCCGTAGTATATTTCGACCCACCAATGCTAACTTCAGGAGAGACCATTTCGACATCCAAAACTACATATTCAACAAGCTGCCTACTGGTAAGTAGAGGTTTAAATGATGCCCTCCAATACTGTTCGGCATCCAAAAAACAGTGCCTCAAAGTGAAGGGATCCAACAAAGCAATGCTATTAGTCACTTTAGTGCAGATCACAAGTGGACCAAGATTTCCTAAAGAGGCAGACAGCTTAGGTGGGAGACAGATTAGGTCTTCACGACATATTGGTGAGATTTCAACAGAAAATGTGTACTTGTAATTGTAATTATTGCTTTTGATATCGTGAGACACAAGTTGTTTGTCACTACGGCTTCTGACAGGCACCACCTTACCCACAAACTCCACAAATTTGACAGCATGGCTTCTATTACCAAAGTAGAAATCCACCCCCTGGTTCGTCTGTTTGATTCGTATGGCCTTAGAAGCCGCATCGTGCTTAAGAATGAGTTGTTCCAGATAAAAGAAACTTCTTCGGTGAGAAACGTGCTGCCTTAGTTGCACTGCAGCCACCCACTGGTCAGGGTTAGCCTGAATACGTGAGCAAGCTTCACATAACTGGTCATGGACAACATACTCAACAGTATATGCTTGTTCAATGATTGCCCCCTGCAGAACGTCTTTCTGGAGTTTGAGTTTGACTTTGATCCTCTTGGAATGAGGTTCAGTCCAGATAAACTCAGCATTCACCAAGGTAGCTTTATTAAAAGTCTTCAGCCTCTTCACACAGAAAGTTAAAAGATCTTTTGATTCTAGCTGGGCTTTAATCCATGTTCTAGGTGGCTGCAAATAGCTGTCACATTCAGGACAGTGAGAAATGACAACATTTTTCTGTAATCCTTCTGTTATATCAAACTCTGAGCGCAAACAACGGGTGCACATATTGACAGCATTAGGGGCCATGAGTACACCACATTTACAGCATAGAACACTGCCAACCGTTTGAGTGATGTTGAACATACCTGAATCTTCAACTTCCATGATGATATACCTACCTCGTCACAAGGTAACAGAAAAATATTTAAAAAGCTAAACCATAGATATTATAAATACCCAAGAGAATAATTATTATGGATATAAACAAAACATCAATGAGTCAAGTGAAAAACAATTTAAAAAATTACATTCACCAACATGCAAAATGGTAACTTCAGCCGTTTTCTCCATCTTCTAATGTTTTCGAATTTTTTACAAACCGTACGAGTAGGATGAATTGAAGCTAGGGTTGAGATACCTCAGTAAAAAAGACAGGAAAAGAATTTTGATAACGAAGAAGAAGAGCGTGAGGGAGAGATACCTCAAGAGAGGGAGTGGATTTTGCCTGAGAGGGCAACAGAGAGATAATTGGAGTTGGAAAGGGTGGTGTCCCGGACTGGCTGCTGGCTTTTCTCTGGCACCGGGTCGCCGAATCGCCTGTCGTCTTCTAGCTTTCTAGGCTCAGCGGCGGCGTAATGTGTTGTTAATACTACCGTATGTCTTCTAGGATTTGGGCTGAAGATTTTTAATACTACTGGGCCTGCTTTTTGAAGACCGGGTCATCACCAAAACAAATGAAAAAATTCTAGGGAAAACTGTCAAAAAGGTTCATTTACTTTTACGAAAAAGTCAACTAAATTCTACTACTTTTAAGCAAATCAATTAAGTCCATGAAATATTTTTTTTATCGTCAACTAGCCTTCTTTCATATCATAAGTTTCAGGATCATTACATCAATCAAAGGAAAAACAAAACTAACACCAACTAAAATCCAACAACTACGACTGTAAACCCTATGATCAGACTTAGATACAGTCACCCCTGAAAGAGGAACACGAATCTCTAACCATGTAGCGGGCTTGACACAGCCATCCCTGTTCCCATAAATCCAAACATACTCAATGACATAAAAAGGCTGAATTCCAAAACAAACTGACAAACCTAACAACATAGACGATAACAAGAAGCCAAATGACAGAATAAAAATAACTAATAAGAAAACTTCCACGGACTCTAGCACCTCGTACAACTCATGACGGTGGTTGAGGAGGAGGTCGTATCATTGGTATCACTCTAATTGATCTTCCATTTCCAATCATCATCTGGCATGTTCGAAAACCGTGCTCCTCTCCTCGTCCCGCGCTCATAGCAAATCCACCGTTAGCGGTCATCTTCATCGTTGTCATGCCCTTGCTACCCTGCTCACGAAGAAATTGATCACCGAACTCTAGCTTTGATGTCGTCAAGCTTGGGCAAGGATTCTTGTCAATTTGCCTCAAATCCAATCTCAGCGTCGGACACAAGTGAAGGGGATTCACCGGACGGAAGAACTAAACCTTAGATCTACTAAGGAAAAACCAAACCCTAGACCTGCTAAGGAGAGAACGCGGCGCTCGCAAGGCATAAATTGCAGCAACAAGTCCATGAAATGTTAAATATTGATCAAATTAACTATTTTGTAGGTTATGATCAGGTTTCCCGGTTGACGGGTGACGTGAATGTCCACCAGGCATTTTCTTTTATAATTTTCTCTTTTTTTCTTTTTTTCTTATTTCCTTTCTTTTTCCTTTTCTTTTTCTTCCTCTCCCAGCCCGTTCTTTCTTCTCCGATCCCCCAAGCCCTCCAAGTCCATTCTTTCTTCTCCCCCCAAGCCCCATGTGCATTTCCAGGGCCGGCCCTGACCAAGAGTAACCAGTGCAATGGCACAGGGCCCACTAAGAAAGGTACATTTCCGGCCTAGGTCCAAAAATAGAAGAGGATGGAATAGAGGACTGAAGGTTGAAGGCTGACTGAATCGACTGATCTCCACGACTTCAAGGTGTTCAAGACACTCAGCGACAAAGCCACAAACAGACGACATCGCCACCACTGTGCCAAGCCGCAACTGCCTCTAGGATTCGGTCCGCCGAATAGGTTCTGCCGCTTCTGCCTCCGCACTCGCAGCCTCCAGCCTCGCACAGTTGTTGCCTGACTTGGCTCCATCCTCCATCATCGTCATCCTCACCACCTTTGTCATTGTCGCTCTTATTAGCCTTGCTCCCAGAGCCCTCATCGTCAGAGTCTTGTGTTGTGGTTACGCTTGGCGAATCATGGGAAGTCTCCTCACCACGAGTGTGGCCCTCAGCAGACGTAGTCTGATCATCATGGGGGCAACTTGCCACCGGTCTCTATGGCTGGGTTGAACTCTCAGGACTCTCACTGTCTCTCGCCTGACTCCCAGGGGTAGGCTCATAGGGGATTATCTGAGCCATAGGGAGTATAATGTTGTTCTCCTCGCAGTAGCGTCTGACAGATGGATCATTCGGATTGGCTAACTGCAGAAGAAGCACTGATATTGTCATTGGTACCAGTGTGGGATCGTCAGGTATCCACTTGAGGCGTTTAACAGATGGAATGTGGACGTTCTCCTTTGAGAGTCTCCGATGAATTGATGGTGTAGTTCGGCATAGAAAACCATCTCATGTATGGTAGATGTTTGATCAGATTGGTCTCTTTTCTCTTCTGTATTACCTCCAAAATATCATCCCATATAGGTAGTCGTAGTTCTTCATAAATGCTACCCCGTGGAAGACAATCAAGAGGTAGATGCTGCATTTGTCGAAGGCGTTGTGTTTGACTATGCAACACTTGTTCAGAGTGGCCATCATTGTCCTCCACGGTCTTGGTAGTCGCCCCGGTTTAACCTCAGAACTGAAGTTGTTCGGTGTAGCATGACCCAGTGTGATCATATCTTCTATAATGTCTTCTTCGGTGGCTAGTTCATCATATTCATCTTGTTCTGGGATTTGGAGCACTTGATACATCAGCTCTTTGGTGATGGTGTCCTTTATGTCGTCAATTTTGGCGGTCACCACATCATCTATCTCGTTCCCATCTTCATCAGTGTCCTTGTAAAGTGTTCCCCAAAAATTGTTGGAGATACACTTCAGGAATTTTCGTTGATTCGCTCATGGCCTTTCATAGTTTGTGGCCCTTCAGAATGGCAATGATCACTTCATTTTGGCATGAGAACACGTTTGGGTTCAGCTTTGAGTTGTTCTCCTTGATGGGGTACTAGTTCTGGATCTCGTAGACGGTCTTGATTGCTGTTAGTTCTGCCATGACATCCTTGCATCGATCCTTGATTGGCGCCAGGAGGAGAAAAATTTAACTCCCCTCAGAATGTGAAATGGGTTGTTTGTCACCCGAGGAGTAAAGTAGAAAACTCCCCCTTGATATGTGCTTTATTCGTTGTAAGGCACCAGGAGGAGTGAAAAGAAACACCCCCCTAGAATATGCACTTGTTGTTTCTTCTTGGCATGTGTTGGTGTTGAGGTGTACATTAGTTGATTTTCTGCTTAGTGGGGGTAGTATACACGCCAATACTCCCCTTAATAATGTGCACAATTGATTGCTCACAGCTCTTCTTACCCGCCATGTGTGTGGAGCAAATAGATCAAGTACCACACATGGGGGACCTGCAAAATAGATTAAATACGTTTTGGTACCCACCTCATTAAGATGGGTCCTTCCTTATCAATTGAGAAGAAATGTTTCATCTTTTGTTTTATTTGGGAACCTAGGCCAACTGATTGAGAAGTGTTTGATGTTCTTAATTTCTCACCTTTGACCTTAGGAACCCATTGTTGTTTGAACTTTGGAGCGAGGGAGGTTTCATTAACAGTGAGTGAATATTCAGACAGATGATCTTTTTAAAATTGTTTCTTGAAAGAGTCTTCTCAAATGTTTGAGTGGGTGAAACTTAGGGGATACTTTAAAAATGGTAGTCTATACTCTCCTTCAACATTCACTCTCTCATAAGTTGATTTCTTTTGGTGCATCTCAATATTCACATTCTTTTCAGGCTTAGAAGAGGAATTAGACTCAAACCAACAACATTTCATTATCTTAACATTATTCAGAGAACAACAGCCAGAGTAGCGATTCTTAACAGATGACTTAGAAAAAGAACACTTAGAAGCATGTCTTCTAGCATAACTAGTCGGAGGTTCACTTAGGAAGGTCCTAGGAACAACACTTCTAGTATGACTAGTAGACGACTCACTAATGCTGGATTTAGACTTATTTTTGGCATAAAACAAAGCACTCGATTGTTGGTCCTTTTTTCCTAGACGATATTCTTCTTCTCTTTTCTTTCTCCTTAATTTATCTTTGATCTACTCTCCACTCTTCTCTACTCTTTTCTTCCCGAGGTTCACAGTCGGTGAATGAGACTCAGAGTGAGTGGAAGAAGTTTTAAAATCATTTGTTGACATTTCAAGACAATTTTTTGAGGAAAAGGGGGAAGAGGGTTGAGGAACTGTGCTAGATTGAGATGACATTTTCAAAGAGGATATTTCTTTTAGAAGTTGATCTCTTTCCTTTTCAAAAGCTTGTTTTTCATTTTCAAAAGATTCTTTTAACTCAGCAAACTTTCTCACGAGAGGTGGAATGTAAGCTGGTTTTGTGTGAACTATGCCCAGATTTCAACAGTCGAATAATCTAAGAATAATAGAAAGAATTTAAACAGTAGAAGAGAAATCTCACCAATAACGTATATCGTGTATATAGAATGATGAATCAATGAAGAACAATTACACGATACTCGAATGAATAAGCTAGAGAGAGAATTTCTATTCTACATGCTCTACAGAGAATAATATGCGGAAACAGAATGTGTAGAGACTTAGCTGTTTTCGGCCATATCAACCTATATTTATAGGAGAGATATTTGAACTGCCTAATACAATTAGGAAATATAGTGGGCCGTGTGTGTGGGCTATGTAGAGCATCTAAATCGTGCCTAATTCTCTCTCAGCTAATCTAATTCAATACAAAGACTTATTAATTAAATTACAATTAATTTGAACACAATAAAATAATATTCTAACATTCTCCCCCTTTGTGTTCAAATGTCGATGAAGCGCGGATTATCTCTGAGTCTTTCACAATGACTTCCGATAGCCTAGAATGACTTCATAATGTCTGAGAGCTTGTGAAATCAAGTCTGAGTCTTATGGCTTCGACAAAGTCTGTAATAAGAACAATCTGGATCAGGTCATTTGGATTCTTGGAATTAAATAGCTCGATTGCAGTTTCTCTCAGATGGTCTTCAATGATTCTAAGTGTTCCATCACAGTATTTATGAATTTCTTCCTTGAGTAGGATTCGCTTGACGCCTTTGTAGTCTATGTAGATGAGTCCTATCTTTGGTTCTGTTGCGATGGAGCCTTCTTCAAAATTTTCAATCCAGGGAGCTCTATTCCTAGGAGCAGTCATATTCACTTTTGAGAGATTGTTTTCAATGGCCATTTGCAGATCAAAGAGGCAATAATATTTGACTTGTCTCATCATGAATCTCTTGATTGCATTTAAGCCTAGTTCTCTGTCTTTGTGAGGAAAATCTTTGAGTCTCACGTTCCTGTATTCGTAGTATAGCTGAATGAGATCTTCTGGAACACCGTGATAGAGATCAGCTTCAGAGACTCTTTGTATTACTCGATTTTGACATTCAAACTCGATCACATGATATTTCACT